TTAAAAAAAAAATCTACCATAGCTAGTTACATGTTACGTACCTTAGCGCTTGAGTGTCAAAGCATATGCAGAGTTCATTGTAGAAGAAACAGTCTGAGAGAGAATATTCTGAATTCTAACTACATGTAATTAGGAAAATAGTGAGGTGTGGGCACACCTTCATGTTTATGAGCGTATTGAGTTTAGTGAAAACTGGGCCCAGAGCAAAGCTGTTTTTTTCTGACAGTGCCACTCCACAAGCTAGACTTTCTTGTGGCTGGACTTACATTCATGATGATCCTACCTTACTGTGTTTTTTTATAATTTAAATTTTAAATTTTTTTAAATAAATGCAAAGAAGCAACACATCTAAAACAATGTAAACATCCAATAAAAAAATTCTAATGAAGAAAAAACTAAAAAGAAAATCCATATCCATAGTGCAACCTACCACAGGGACTATTGGCAGGGGAAAACATGCTGATACTATTTACCCTTGTAGCACCCTCATCCCCTTCCGAAATTGTATGGATTCTTGAGCTGAGCTTGTTCCTTCTCCTGTACTAATACAAGATGAATAAATTCTTCCCATATTTCTACAAATACATCCCTATCTATTACCCTCTTTTAACACTTATATCCCATCTAAGTTTATCTTTAATTGCTACATCCCAGACTTCCCTATGACAATTACTTAACAAAATATTATGAGCTGTTTTCCATTTCTTGGCAATAATCAGTCTCATAGCTGTTATCGAATTGGAAACTATTTCTCTAGTTGTCCAATTACCTACTTCCTTTTCAATTATTGATAAAAGTGCTATTTTAGGACATACAACTGCATTTAAATTGCTTATTTCATTTATTTCCTGCAAAACTAATTGCCAAAAGTTCAGTATATACTCCCATTCCCACCACATGCAAAAATATGGACCTGTTTTTCTGGCACCCTCTGCAGCACATCTTAGAGTAATTACCATCTATTTGATTAAGTTTCACTGGAGTTAAGTACCATATCCAAACTAACATACAAAAATTCTCTTTTATCTTGATGGACATTGATTTCAATATTCTAGTGTTCCACATATTTTCCCAATAACTGGAACCTATTTCCCTAACCATGTATAAGGCTGCTTAAAGAAAGGCAGTGGTTGCGGCTAAAGCTACAGTTTTAATGGGAAGAGCAATACAGAGGGAGAGGTGCTTTTTAGCACCTTGTCCTTCCACTGTTCTTTCAATGTAAGACCACCCCAAGCAGTTTGTATTCCTCTTTTTTTTTCCTCAAGTGCTGCTAAAAACATTTGAACTAGAAGGAGATTTCAGCAGCAACAACAACAACAAAGCACAAGGAAAAGGGGCTACAAAATGCTTCTCCTCCCTTCTGGTCTTCAGACTCCTGCCTCAAAAGCAGCAGCCTTTTACCAAAGCAAAGCCCTGCCCTTAAAAAAAAAAAAATCACCCGGCTATAAAGAGAGCATGGGCCCACCTGAGCGTGGGACCTCAGGAAGGTCTGCATTGAGGCTCAGGGATGCTGAGGGCAGCCAAGCGACCGGCACAGCCCTGTGGACGTGTTCATGGCTGTGCAGAGAGAAGTGACTCCTCCTGCCACCATCTGTGCCTCTGCTCTGGAGGTAAAAAAAAAAGGTGCTGCGAACAGATTTCATTGGGGGGGGAGGAAAAAAGTTGAAAAGTTAGCACTGGAGATGGTGACAAGCAAGCATCCCCAAAATGAGGAACTCAATTAGTCCAAAAAAGAACCCACAAAGATCTCATTATCTCCCCCCCTCAAAAAATGCTCTAAATAGGTACGGATATAAAAATTTAAAACTCTCTCTCTCTTTTTCTCTCTCTCTCCTGCCTGGATGACTGCATTTCTGTGCCCATTTTCTTTAAACATCCACTTTCATATTTATTTATTCCTAGCGCAGAGCAGCTGCGATAATTAGACTGTCAGATTCAGTAAGTTAATGAGGAGTCAGTGGAGTGGAAGCGTTTGCGTTTGTTAAGATTGCAGGAGAAGAAGAGAGAGACTCCATGCCTTCAGTTCCCTCTGTCTTTTTTTTTTTTGTCTCTTTCTCTCCCTCCCTCTCCCCCTCCATTGGGTGGGAAGAAGAGAGCTTGGCAGCACATAGAAAGATTTGAATCCTTTTGATTAGCAGGCTGCATTCCCACTACTGCGATGCCAAATTATTATATATTTTTTTCCTGAGGTTCCTGGCTTTTTTGAAATGAGAATTTCGAGATAAGAAATCTATAAGGACAGGGACCTATGTTACACACATGATGCACACTTGTGAAAGTTTCTGGACTATTTTATATCACAATAATAACCACATATTTAGGGTAGAACAAAAGCCAACATTATGCAGGCAGACTTCTGCCCATTCTCCTCCTCTTCCCAAAGCCTCCCATTTGCAGCTCAGATCTTCTCTGGAGGTCTCCCAAATTCATCAGAACAGGGAACTGCTGGATCGCTCAGTGGTTTAGGTCTCTGGCTGAGGAGCCAGAGGTTGGGAGTTCAAGACCCCCTACTGCGCTTCCTTGACAAGGGCTGGACTTGATGGTCCATAGGATCCCTTCCAGCTCTGCAATTTGGGGTTAGGGTGGGAACTGCAGAAGAGATGAGGGGGTTCAATCCAGAAGCAAGGTCTATCCACCTAGAGCAGGGATGGTGAACCTTTTTGAGCTCGAGTGCCCAAACTGCAACACAAAATCAACTTATTTATTTCAAAGTGCCAACATTGCAATTAAACCCAAATACTGATGTTTCAGTTTAGGGGGAAAAAACTGCCCTTGCACTGCAAGGGTTAAATACTTGTTTGTTTTTTTTCCTATGGGTGGTATTAACAAATAAATACTTACTGGTCCTCCAATCCCCCATTGGGCTAGACTGGTAATGTTCGCCATTGCACCCCTCCGCTGGACCACTGCCACAGCAGAGGGGAGTGCCAAAATCTGGAATCAGAGGATGGGTAAGTATTTCTCGATGGCAACTTATGGCTCATGTGCCAACAGAGAGGGCTCACGTGTGCCATAGGTTCGCCATCACTGACCTAGAGCAAGGATACGGTTGGATACAACTCTTAAGATTCCTCCCCGTGAGGATTTCTAAGGCTTAATCTAATTGTTAATCTCATTGAACCAATGGGACTTGCCAAATACTATATATCCCACTGATTCATTGGGTCTAGTATAATTGTAGTTTAGGCTTGCTCAGTTATGTGAAATATAGACAAATGTAGCACCCAGGATCTTCTTCCTAAGGACCTGCACTAATTACAGTTACAGGAAGAGGTCACTGGGAAACACACACATACGTAGGTTAATGGAGCCTCGTGGCGCAGTGGTTAAACCGCTGTACTGCAGCTAAAACTGTGCTCACGACCTGGGGTTCAAATCTCAGGAAGCCAGCTCAAGGTTGACTCAGCCTTCTATCCTTCCGAGGTCGGTAAAATGAGTACCCAGCTCACTGGGGGGGGGCAATGTGTAGCCTGCATAATTAAATTGTAAACCGCCCAGAGAGTGCTTGAAGCGCTATGGGGCGGTATATAAGCAGCACGCTTTGCTTTAACAAGCCCTTAAAAAATGTTTGAAGGGTCACAGCTCAAGGGGCTAAAACATGGATCTGCTACCCACAGAGTTCTTTTGGTAAACCATGGAGTAAAAGCCAAGAAAAACAACACCGATTCAAGTCAGGAACCAGTCAACAACTGCTACAAGCATGAAGGCAAAGAGTAGTTGAAGTCAGAAGTAGTTAAGACCACCAACTGATAATCAAGGGAACTACAACTGATTAGGAAAGAGCCCACGAGGGAGATAGCAGGATAGGAACCCCAGATAGGAATGAAAGAGAAAACCCCAATGCCAAGCGAAGGTAACAAACAAGTTACCTGGACAAAAGTCTATGTCTAAATTTTGTATCCTTAGGATTGTCAACTGTGTGATGTCAGCAAGGGCCTGTGTAGAGGTGAGGAGGAAATATGCAAGGAAAAATAAATGCCTCTGTTACTGGAAGCCTGGCAGCTTCGTCTGATAAGCACATGGTGACTGGAGCCAAGGATAATGATTCAGGAACCCCTCCCCACTGTGGGAGATAGCAAGCCACTGGCTCCTTTTTAATGTATTTGTCTAGGCTATGTGATAACAACGAACTCACATCAGCTGCACCAACAAGTAGAGCTTGCTCATCTCCCAGAGATAAAGATTTCCCAATGCCTGCTCCACACCTTACCTTGAGCGGCTGCTTCCCCCTCCCCTGCTGCGTAGTTCTTATATTGGTCATTTGTATTTTAGTGTCAGCTCTCAAGTCAACTCGTTAAAAATGTGGCATTGGAGAAGAATTTAAAGATATAGCAAGACAAATAAATCTTAGTAGATGCTGACATGATTTAATTTGGGCTATTTGAATTTTGGAAAATGTCAAGAAAAGCTGAAGGCAGGAGAAGAGGAAGACTGAATAGTAGATGGACTGATTCAATAAAGGAGCCCCTGGCTTTGTGTCTCTTAAGAACTGAGCAGGGCTGTTCATGAAAACAACTTCTGGAGGTCATTAATTCTTAGGGTTATCACATTTTGACAGCGCTTGACAGCAACAAGTTGTAAAAGGTGCTGTGAGAATATCTAGGGAGGGCTGTTTGAAAGAGACTCTGCATAAATCTTCAGAGTGGGTTGTTTGAGCAGAAAGAAGCTATATAAAAACCTCTGTGCTTTACCTTAGCAGAAAGGAATATGGGACAGCTGCTTGTTTTTTTTTTTTTCCTTTTTCATTGCACCAGAGATATTATCAAAATAATGGTTTCACTAAAACCTGCTCCCATGGCATTAATTGTGGAGATTCTTCAAGGCCACCTGAGGTGGGGTCCTGGGCACAAGTCTTATTTCCAAGTGGAGTGACATCACAGAAGGAAAGTTTGCTCTCCAAAGCCATGGCAGTTAAAGGCAGGTTCGCTTCAGTCTGCCATTTAGGAGTGTGTGGTGGTCAAGTAGCTGCTGATCACTTTTGCTTCTTGTTTCTTTCATAGCCCAGTCCATCTTCACAGTCCCCGGAGTGAAGCTGAATCCAGAAATGTGTGATCTGTTTGCTTCATATGAGAAAGGCCAACCTCTGATCACTTCAAGCAAGTTTTGGTGAAATGAAAAAAAGAAGAATTATAGTCTGGCAGTGGAGGGGGAGGAGTGCTGCTTATCATGGCTCTTTGTGGCCATGGCTGATACCCACAATAGTTTGAGGAGTCTGGAATCTGGATACGTCTTCATCAGGTAGCAGTAGATACAAAGAGAAGAAACAGGACATTTGTCTTTCTTCAGGTCTGAAAGGTAACATTATACACAAGTCTACTATAGCAATAAAGTGGTGCCTCGCTTAACGATTGCCTCGCTTAATGAGGAAATCGCTGTACCATTAGGTTTTTGCAATCGCTTTTGTGATCGCAAAACGATGGTTTAAATGGGGTTTTTTCGTTTAACGATGATCGGTTCCCTACTTCGGGAAACGATTTTCGCTTTACAATGATCAGCCAACATTACACACAAGTCTACTATAGCAATACAGTGGTGCCTCGCTTAACGATTGCCTCGCTTAATGAGGAAATCGCTGTACCATTAGGTTTTTGCAATCGCTTTTGTGATCGCAAAACGATGGTTTAAATGGGGTTTTTTCGTTTAACGATGATCGGTTCCCTACTTCGGGAAACGATTTTCGCTTTACAATGATCAGCCAACAGCTGATCTTCGGGTTTCAAAATGGCCACCGGCTGAAGAAAATGGCTCCCTGCTGTTTTCTAGGATGGATTCCTTGCTTTACAGGCACCAAAAATGGCTGCTGTATGGAGGATCTTTGCTGGACAAGCAGGTATTCAGCCCATTTGAACGCATTGAACGGGTTTCAATGCGTTTCAGTGGGTTCTTTTTATATTGTTTGACAATGTTTTCGCTCTGCAGCGATTTCCCTGGAACGAATTAACATCGTCAAGCGAGGCACCACTGTATTGAGTTCAGTAGATATACAGGTTGTGCAGAGTTATGACAGCAGACAGGTGTTGGTGTTTTTTAACCTTCAAGATGAGTCCATGGTCAGTACATGTGTTTCAGTTCTGTTTTCTTTCTTCCATGTTCTGCCTCGCTTCTTGATGCTGCGAATTCTCCTGCTTTGGGATCAGGAGAATTAGATGGGTGGGCTCCAGTCAGTTCTTTGAATGCCATCTTAAGCAAAAGGAGCCAGGGCCAATACTTGTTGAGGTTGAACAGCAGGCTTCGTGAAGGAAGACCTATGGAAGCAACAGGGGGATTTTGGCCCTCCATACGCTTCAGACTTTCATTCCCCGTCCCAAATCCCAAACAGCACAGCTAGTGGTCAAATATTATGAGAGGTTCAAAACATCTGGTGGGCCAAATTTTTCCTGGATTATGGATCTGAATCTCTCCCTCCAGGTTGCTCTCATTCCTGGTTGCTCTCCCATTGTTGAGTAATCAGTGTGGAAGATGGCCAAGCAAGTCCATGTCAGTAACACAAGGAAAAGCTTTTTTTTGCCAAAAGCGTGCTGCTTGCTGCTTATATACCACCCGCCCCATAGCGCTTCAAGCACTCTCTGGGCGGTTTACAAGTTAGTTATGCAGGCTACACATTTCCCCCCCCCCAGCAAGCTGGGTACTCATTTTACCGACCTCGGAAGGACGGAAGGCGGAGTCAACCTTGAAATGGCTACCTGGGATTGAACCCCAGGTCGTGAGCACAGTTTTGGCTGCAGTACAGCGGTTTAACCACTGCGCCATGAGGCTAATACTGACAGGGTGGCAGCACTGTAGGCCTCTTGTTTAGAAGTCCCAAGAGCCCAGAAACAGGGTGTTACATTCATTAAGAGGTATAACGTGGGAGTTAGTGTGGTTTAATGGAGAGAATGACAAACTGGGAATTAGGAGGCCTCAGTTCAAATTTCCACTTATCCAAGAAAACTCTCTGGTTTATAGCACTGATAAAATCACTACTTAAATACCTCTCGTACCTTGAAAACCCTATTAGGGTTGCCATCAGTCAGATGCAACTTGACTACATGTAGCAAATAAAAGGTACAACACAGATAATTTCCCCTTAGAGGGAAGCAGTGCTTTGCTGCAGAAATAGTTATGGGATAAACCATACTGCACAACCACAATAGCTACAGGAGGGACAGGACTGGGATGCTATTCAAGCGAGATCACTTGATCTAAAAATCTGTCACAAAAATAATTGAACTCTGCGATGTACTTTGAGTCTTAGACTGCTTTCACATTTGCTTTGATTTGTAATTAGTGAATTTTAAATGCTTACATCAATTGATCAGTGACACCTTTATGTTAAAGTAGAATCTAGCCATGGGGCAGATCCCCCTTCTTTGCATGGCTTGTCAATAAAAGACAAAAACATGCAGATGTCTTGAATTGTCTATTATCTTTTGTTTAGCAAACCATGCCAGGAAAATTGACTTGGTAACCAAGGTATTAACAGTGCAGATCTGATAACTGGATTTTTAAGACGGGTCTGACTGTCTCTTAATAGAGAGATCCCAGACCACATCATGGATGGACAAACAAACAAACAGAACAGATGGGGGCTGGTAATTTTCAGAAGGCAGGACTTAGAGACAGCCAGTCTTGTTATTCCTGGCAGTTGTTTCCAGTCTTTCCCAACAAAAGAATTCCTGGGGGAAGGAGGGGATTAAAGTTGAGCAAAGCCTCCAGGGAAGATGGTTCCCTGGATAGAGTAAACATAAGGAATTGTTTAATATATGTTGTAGTTTCCTAGAGGGACCGTCTGCCACCACTAAAGGTATTGACATTATACCACTTCCATGCCAAAGGAGCATTAGAAATGTGAATGATTTTGCCACATGCAGTTGACTCCTTTAGTCCCATCCAAGATATGTTCCCTTTTGAAAAGGAAAGGAAACTTACATGAAGTTGGTTAAGGATTCTTTTGGTCCCATAAGTTCTTAGCCTAGCCCAGTGATATACTTGTGTAGTCAGACTGTGTGTTTCCTCTCTTTGATCTCTGCATTTCTGACAGAATGACAGAACGTCAATAAGAAAGGTGCTCTTAAGTGACTTCTGAGGTGGGGGAGGGTCTGGGAAGAAGAGCCTCTTTTGGTTTCTTTCATACAGACCGCAATCTAATGGTGGTTTGCACCAGACTTTATCCAGAGAGAAAAAGAAAAATCAGCCTTGATCTTACTGTAACAAACTGTTTTCATTCAGTCGTGCAATCTGGCCCCAAACTGAGAGAACCTAATAGCATGGCCAGTACCCTCCTCAGCTTCTCCTGAGTGGCAAGTCCTGCCAGCATTGCAATGAGCCAGTGTTGCCGATACACATGCAGTGATCACTATGAAGAAAAACCTGTCCTTTTCTTCTGCAGTAGCTAATTTTGCACAAGTGGCGTGAGCCTCTGCCCTCATGCTGCCAGTTGGACTTTCTGCTCAGCGGTTCTCCAAATTTATCTTCATTGTTCCTTATTCATGGCTGATCAATTTTTTTTTTTACATCAGGGAGATAATCTAATAGATAACAACATAGATACATTCGTTAACAGGCAGACAAGGGCTGATGAATGGAGGCAAGCTCTGTTTATGAAATCATAGCCCTTGGGAGGCAGCCACATGCTATAATAACCAGAGTGGGGAAAATTAATTTTTAAAAAGTAATAATTCCAAGGCAATATTTCAAACAAAACAAATCAGGCAACTTAAGATTTGTGTTTTTCAAAAATAACAAAGTCCTCACATTTTCCTTACTTTTAACATTTCTGAACAGTACAACCTCCAAATTGTGGTAGAAAGCATACACTTCCTCTGCCATTGGGTTATGCACTATAATTTTAAAAATTATTAAGACAGATTTGCTGCAAAAGGAACAAAGTTGTCCCTCATTAAGTTACAGTCATAATGTAGAGTACTTCATTATGAGAAAAAGGAACTGATTACCAGCTGTAAAACTAGTTATTTTTAAGCTGACTGGATAGTTCAGTGAGCTGCAACACAGCCAGGGATTGGGGGTCTGGTTCCCTAATATGCCTTGAAAGAAGAAAAAGCCAGCCGGTGTAGCCTTGGGCAAGCTGTATGATCCCAGAATACCTCTAGTAGAAGGGACTGGCCAAACACTGAGAAGGGTCACCATGAGTCATAATGAACTTCACAGCACATAACGATAAGCAGTAGCTATTTATGTATTCTTGAAGGCTTTCATAACTAGTTATAAACTATTTATACATAAATATGGCTTATAAACCATATTTATAAGTAGTTACTTCCAAGATCTGATATTGATGCCACCGTAGCATCTTCTCATTATGAATTCTTTTTTGTGACATTTGATTGAAAAAGAGCAAAAAATAAAATAAAATACGAATAGCCGGCTTTATTTGGTTTTAATGCATTTGGGAAAGTGCATTAAAATGACCTCTTGGCTTGGTAAACTGAGTACTTTATTACAGCCCCAACCCATTTCAGAATTGTCCCCCAAACAACAATGCTGGTCTATAGACTATACCACATGTCCAAATGGAGAAGGGAACAGCAAAATTGTGACAAAAGCAGGAGTGGGCATAGTCAGAATAGAGTTCCTTCTGCCTGTGTTGTTGTTGTTTTTTAATCAAACTATTTTTCAGATTGTTTTTGCACCTTTTTCTTTTACTTTTTAGCACAGAGCCAATTTAAGAAACCCAAAAGGGAAACTAAACTACAAGTCTCCAGTATAAATGCTGACACAACTCTAGCCACAATGGCACAAGGTAGGCAAAATTCTCCCCCACACAACCTGTGACTGCATTGGGGACGCACAGATGAAAAGACTGACTTGGATCATGTGAAGGTGTCACCTCAGTAATGATATCAGGGACAGAGATAAAAGTCCTCCCATTCTGGTCATGAGACACAGCTTCATTACTCTCACAGCGGGTGGTCTGTGGCTCTCAATGCTTGCATTTTTTTTTATTTTTTTATTTTTTTTTATCTCTGATAATGGTGTTCTTGTTAAACTCCCATCCCTGTGTTTAAACACTTCTTCCTGCTGACAGTGGTGGGGAGAGCCCTTGATCAGCTGTCAGACTGAAAAGTGCAATTTTTTCAGGAAAGTAAACAGCATGTTTGCCAGTGGGAAATAATTTTCTATTTGTTTGGCACTGTGAGGGCTGGGAGTGATGGAGCCATGTCAAAGTAGCTGATTGACTTGATGATGAGAAATAGCAAATGGGCTGTGACGGCTTTTGACACCTCCCTCGGAGCTTCTGAGCAGGGGAATGCTGAAAGGATAATGGTGCTATGCTGTAGTTCAATATAGAAAATGGGTTGTATAAGGAACATTCTGCAAGTAAGACATTCTTTCACATA